GTCGGTTAAGCGTCCGACTTCAGCCAGGTCACGATCTCGCGGTCCGTGAGTTCGAGCCCCGCGTCGGGCTCTGGGCTGATGGCTCGGAGCCTGGAGCCTGTTTCCGATTCTGTGTCTCCCTCTCTCTCTGCCCCTCCCCCGTTCATGCTCTGTCTCTCTCTGTCCCAAAAATAAATAAACGTTGAAAAAAGTTTATTAAATCAAAGTTATGTAAAATAGCTGGTTTCTCAGTAACATTTAGAAATATGGTTTCTGCATAATGTTAGTCTCTTGCAATATAGTGAACAACAACGTAGGTAGAATCCAATGCTGTGCTGTAGTTTTCTCCCAGGAAAACTGAAGCAGATAATTCCACTCCATCAAACCAGACAACAGTGCATTCTAGTGGCCAAAGAAGAGCATAATCAGAAATGTCTCGGACTCTGGTAAAACTTAACTGTCTAAAATCAAGAAGCTAATAAAATATTATAAACATTCTATGAACTGCTATAAATTTAAAGAAAATTTGCATTTAAGATTAAAGTGAAAATATAAGAAAGAAAAAATATTACCCAAAAGCTCCAGTCACCACTCCAGTTATGTAAATTTGGCCCCTGTTTTTTTGCTGACACTGTGTGATTCTCATCCGCAACTGGGCTAGGATTCTCCTCTAACTCTTCCTGTGGCTCAGGGGCAAAGCTTGAATCCCCTGCATTTATTGCCTGGAAACAAGTATCAACAATTTAAATTACTTATTGAGAAATGCTCATTTTAAAAATGAAAAGAGTTAGTGTTCAAAATACACAAATTAACTTGAAAACAATATTTAAGCATTTAGGAAACAGTAATTAACATGTTTTTTCTTCTACAGTTCATATATTTACACATGTGACAAATATTCTCCAACTACTACTACTCATTAGGTAGTTTAATTGGCACTGGGAATTCAAAAATGAATAAAAGGAAGTCCTTAGCTTCCAGAAGTCACAGTCAGCTAGAGGAATAGCTGTTTAATAACAGTAAAAAATATTTTTTACTGTTTAATAACAGTAAAAAATACCATGTAAGGGGGATGACAATTAGTTCAACCTCTTTGGAGAATAATTTGCAATGCCTGCTCTGGTCTAGAATGGGTATAAACTAAAACTCTGTGCACATGGAGTCAATAATGGTTATAGTACTAAGAAAGTGGAAACAAACTTACTAACCATAATTTGTGGGAAATTGGTAAATTAACTCTGATTTATACAAACAATGTAGTTAAAATCAATGAATCAGGCATTGACCCCCAGTCTATGGAGCATTCTGGGGAAAGAGTACATTCTGTGCAAGAGATGGACCCATTTGGGCAGTCACTCATGAAAGAGAGTCATTTTGGAGTAAAAAAGAGAGAGAGAAAAAAGAGCCGGGAGGAGGGAAGGGAGCAACCATTGTGAGAACACATGGCTCACCTGGACCCTTAAATACCTCTGTTGTTCCTGCTGTTGCCCTGCTGCCACTGGTACCTATGCCTCTATTGTAACAAAAATCCTGATCCTCCAGGTTACAGAGAAAAGCAGCCATGGAACCCATGTGGCACAGCAAAGGGGTAATTCAAACTCAGCTTCAGCTCAGGGTTGGTTTTTTTGTTTTTGTTTTTTAGCGTTTATTTATTTTTGAGAGAGAGAGAGAGACAGAGGGACAGAGAGAGAGAGAGCATGAGCAGGGGAGGGGCTGAGAGAGAGGGAGACACAGAATCTGAAGCAGGCTCCGGGCTCTGAGCCGTCAGCACAGATGTGGGGCTTGAACCCATGAGCTGTGAGATCATGACCTGAGCTGAAATCAGACACTTAACTGACTGAGCCACCCAGGCGCCCCAAGCTCAGGGTTTTTAAACTCCACAAAGTAACCACATACCCCTAACCCTGGTAACACTGATTTGAGGCTCTCTGGAGGATGAAATTTATAAATATGAAATGATAGACAGGACTCCCTCCACTTGAAATATATTCACTCACCACCAAAAGAGATAGAGAAAAACAATAAAGAAACAAACAAAGAAACAACAACAAAATAGAGAAGTCCACAATTTGGCCCAGTTGGAAATCCAAAATTTACTAAAATAATTTATACAACAAAAGGTAAAGATTGGCTTTTATATCTCTATAGCACAGGTTTTTGAATTAACTTCAACATCTGCTGAAATGCCTTAAGTGGCAAATTTTCATGACTTTAATCAATACTGGGCTCAAACTACAGTTATACCTGGAGATCCCACTAAATTTAGGGAAATACTCAACATAAAATAGATAATAAATAGGTATGTCTCACTTTAACCACCAGAACTTCTGTCTTGCTGAAATTCTTCCAGGTAATGGTATAGTACACATTACCCTAAAATATTCCATATTGGCAGTGGATGCTCTGACCCAACAATAAATTTAAAGAGTCTTTGGAGCATACAAATGGCTTTTTAAAAAGCCATGGACCACTCCCTCAACCCCTAGCTAAAATAGTAAATACAACTCAACTCAATGTAACATTAAACAGGGCCTTTGAGGATTGGGATTTACTATAAAAGACCTAATTAGTGAAAGAGTGATTATCTGTATGGTTTCTCCATTTAACAGCCCAACATGGCCTATTAAAGTTGGAAAAATGAATGGTGCCTCACAGTTGATGACTGTGCCCTTGATGCTGTGTTCCTTCCCATGAAGGCCCCTTTACCACATACTATTGAAATTACTGACTCTATCCAATCAGAAACTGTTAAATATATGTTATAATAGGGGCGCCTGGGTGGCTCAGTCGGTTAAACGTCCGACTTCG